TATATATATATATATATACATATATCATAAGTTCCGTTCATGGAATCTATTTTTAATTCATCGTTACAGTTGACGTCACGCTGATTCACTAAAACGATCACGTTTCATTGAAACTTACCATTTCGAATAAACTAATTTAACGTCTACCGACTACCATTCCGAACGTGAACGGAATAATCAATGTTAAATTAACAGAAATATGATTGTTTTAAGGTTCAAAGTCAGGATAAACGAGGCAACGAGTCTTGTTTCGCGAATAAACACACACATATATATATATTTTGACCAAATTTCTGATAATTCTCGAGAAGACGTACGATGGATTATTTTGTTTAGGAAGACAATGTCTCAAATTCACGATTAAAACGCGTTCGATTAATTTTCCTAATTTCTTATCCTTCTTTTTTCTGGTGTTTCGTTCTTCCTTAACGATTTATATCTTAATTGTTCGTCTAATCATATCGTATAAAATATTTCGTTTAGTTTTGATAATATTGAAATATATTTTAGATGAAAAATAATTAGTTTCAAAAGAGATACAATAATTATTATCTTCTTTGTAAAAGATCGGTCAAATTATTGTTTTTTTAATGGAATTATATGATTTTTAATACATCAATAAATGTGACGATACATCATGTTTGTTATGAAGAAACTTTTAGAAGATACTTTATTATCCTTTAAACGAATATTCTTTAATTTAATATTTTTAAGATTGACATTTTTTTATAAAAAAGAAAATGTAGAATTACATTGTTTGGACATTAAAAAATTTATAATTCCTTGTAAAATAATAAGGTTGACTTTTACGTAGAAAAAAGTTAATTACATCAGGATATGTCTTCCTTGCAAACTATTTTCCTCTGAAATATTTTAAAATATTATCAAAAATAATTCGGAAGATATTCTAGATGATAAAAATTAGACATTCCAGCATATTCCAGTATCCTTTGTTAATAAATTATGACAATTTAGTATTTTAAATATCGAAAGATCCAAAAAGTAAGTATATTTGAAACTAAGAAAACTATCAAAAAGAAATTCAATATTGCAAAAAATGGAAACTGTAAAAATAAGTATAAAGGTAAATATATTTGGAATATTAATGAAACGATCAGAAAAAACGAACAAATTTCGAAAATTCCAGGAATTAATCGTCATTTTCAAGAATTCTCGCAAAAAAATGTAACTAAACATTGAAAATAGAAACAAACAAATCAATGTTTGTAAACAAACGAAAATTTTCGAAAATTTTTGTAAATAAGCATTGAAAATCAAAATAAACGGATCAATGTTTGTAAAGAAACAAAAAATTTGATATTATTTTCGAAAGAATTTCGGAATTTACAGAAATTTGATGTTACTTCCCAGAGTTGTCAAAATTTTTCAATCGTATCGATTTTGTATCAGAAGAATATAATTCAAGAAGAAATGAGAAAATTTAATTTAAAATTTAATATACTTATCTTTTATACTTATGTTTATACACTTTTTAGACAGCACATTTCCAGAAAAGACATTTTACTTAATTTTATTAATTATATTTATTAATTATATTTATCCGTCTAGTATTTATCGTATTACGTAATTAATTCTTTACACTCATATTTTTAAAAAGTACAGAAAAAAAATATATATGAAAAATATATATATAATTTTTAAAAAAGTTAATTTATTATAAAAATCTATATAAATCATATACATAAATAGTAATATTCTTTACTCTGTCTATTATTTCTTTTTTCTTTATCTTACGTTTAATATTTTATCCGCTTTGATATTTTTACATTATAATTAATGCGATTCTATTTTGAATTATATCCCAATTATTGATGAAATACATTTTGTCGATAAGTTAGAGATCGATTAAAATGTTTCCGCGGTCAGCGCCATCTCGCGTTTGGATCACCGAAGCTTCGACTCGTTACTAGCATAGCAGAATATACGAGGAGGTATGCGGAGTCGTAGACGAAGAAAGCACTATTGCGTGAGAAGGATAGAGAGCGTCCCCCACCATTACGGATCCGATACATGGAATTAATTAATTAATTACTCATCTTCTACATGAAATTTCTATACTTTTAAGATCGTATCTTGAAGCTACAACTCCAGACAACTTTCTCGTATCAATTTTAATATAAAATTCCTTGTTATTAATTAATTATTAATAATTAATGCGTCATAATACGTTATACGTTCTAATACATCGAAGACGCCATATTGAAAATTCATTAATTACGCGCTTTCTACGCAAAATTTCTATACTTTTAAGATCGCATCTTAAAGCTAGTACTTTACACGAGTTTCTCCTATCAATTTTAATATAAAATTCTTTGCCATTAATTAATTATTAACGATTAATAATGATTAACGCATCATACGTTCTAATACATCGAAGTCATCGTATTGAAAATTAATTAATTACAAGTTTTCTATGCAAAATTTGTATACTTTTAAGATTGCATCTTGAAGTTAGAACTCCAGACAACTTTCTCGTATCAATTTTAATATAAAATTTCTTATCATTAATTAATTATTAACAATTAATGCGTCGTAATATGTTATACGTTCTAATACATCGAAAACGCCATATTGAAAATTCATTAATTACGCGTTTTCTACGCAAAATTTCTGCATTTTTAAAATCGCATCTTGAAGCTGGAACTTCACACGAGTTTCTCTTATCAATTTTAATATAGAATTTTTTCCTGTTAATTAATCATTAACGATTACTCCGTTGTACGTCTTAATAAATCGAATATCGAATAAATCACTATATTGAAAATTCATTAATTACTCGTTTTGTACACAAAATTTTAGCACTTTTAAGATTGCATCTTAAAGCTAGAACTCCAAACAAGTTTCTCTTATCAATTTTAATATAAATATGTTTTCTGTTAATGAATTATTAACGATTAATAACGATAACGTGTCAATAATTTTAATATATTGAAGACGCGTTTTTAATAAATTATTAATAAATAACTAATAAAATGAAATATCATATTAAAATTGATAGGGGAAACTTGTGTGAGGTTCTAGCATCAAGATGCGATCTTAAAAGTATAGAAATTTTGCGTAGAAAGCGCGTAATTAATGAATTTTCAATATGGCGTCTTCGATGTATTAGTACGTATAACGTATTATGACGCATTAATTGTTAATAATTAATTAATGACAAGGAATTTTATAATAAATTTTTAAATAAATTTTAAAATTGATACGAGAAAGTTGTCTGGAGTTCTAGCTTCAAGATGCGATCTTAAAAGTATAGAAATTTTGCGTAGAAAACGCGTAATTAATGAATTTTCAATATGGCGTCTTCGATATATTAGAACGTATAACGTATTATGACGCATTAATTATTAATAATTAATTAATGACAAGGAATTTTATATTAAAATTGATACGAGAAAGTTGTCTGAAGTTCTAGCTTCAAGATACGATCTTAAAAGTATAGAAATTTTGTGTAAAAAACGAGTAATTAATTAATTCCATGTATCGGATCCGTAATGGTGGGGGAAGCTCTCTATCTTTCTCGCGCAATAGTGCTTTCCTCGTCTACGACTCCGCATACCTCCTCGTATATTCTGCTATGCTAGTAACGAGTCGAAGCTTCGGTGATCCAAACGCGAGATGGCGTTGACCGCGGAAACTTTTTAATCGATGTCTAACTTATCGACAAAATGTATTTCGTCCACAATTGAGATACAATTCGAAAAAAAAATACAATAGATTAATTATAAAATAAAAATTCTTAAAAGTGGAATGTGTAATAGAATAAAAAGGAATAATAGAGCAAGAAATGAATATTATATATATGATTTATATGAATTTTTGTAAAAAAATTAATTTTTTTTAATTATATATATATTTTTTCTAAATTTGTTTAATCAATTATCATTAAATTTTCGAAAGATTTCGTTGTCTACTTACATGTTTCGATAAAAGTAAATGAAATAAAATTAAAATCGTTATCTGTATAATTATTTGTAAAAAAGCAGAATATATCATTTATCGCAAAGTAATTAAATTTAATACGAAACGATAAATTTGAAAGATATAGAAATTTAATTATGAAAGATATCAAATAAAGCTGTATATCTGATATTATTTTATATGCTTTAATAATTTTATTAATCA